ATCAAGTTTTACCTCGTCGTCGCATCGATCAAGTTTCGCCTTGTCGTCGCATCGATCAAGTTTCACCTCATCGACGTCAGCTCGCCCTGACAGAATCACCTCGGCTCACCATGAACAAATTCACCTTGTCTTCTTGATTTCATCGAAGTCAAAACCGAGATCACGCTAAGTCAACAACAACAAAATCTATCGAACCGCCGACAAAATCAACAAATTCTAGTCACTTCACCATCGACATTCACCTCGCTGCTGCCGCCGGTAGTCACTCTGTCGTCACCTTTATCAAGCTTGCTTTGCCATCACCTCGCCTCTGTTCACGCGTCGACTTCGCCAACATCTCCTTGGCTCGCGTATCGGCGAGATGCAACATCTCCCTGCTCATGAATCGGCTTCGCCAACATTTTTACGGCTCGCCATCACATCATCACGTTGTCGTCACACCGCCACCTCTCTTCGCTGTCATGAGGTCGTCGCCTCGACATCGCTAACCTCTTCGACCGCGACTGAAGTATTAGAGGAGGCCGGTCTTGTCGAACTACCAATGTCAGACTCTGGAGAAAGAAGCATACTCATTCCAAGAAGGAGAGGATCACCGACCATCTCTCCGGAATCATCTAAATCTGTAGTAGTCTCCATGCCGTCTTTGTCGCACGAACGGTCAAGCTGCGAGTCCATAGAATCGGAAACCATTCTTTTCGATTCACCTCTCTGCTGTACCAAAGAGCAACGATCCGAGTCAATCACTCCACGAAGCTAGCGTTGTCACCAAGTCATCGAGCTGTCGAACCGCAAAGTCGCTGAATCGCCGAGTTAAAATAAAATAAAAAAATCTGTCCGAGTTAACTCAGTGAGTCTACTCGCTAGTCAACTCGCGAGAAATCTCGAACCGCCGTTTTTTCGCCGGATCTCGCCTCGCCTTGCCTTAGAATTCTTGAACAACGTCTAGATTTATTGTCATTCATTTTGGTTGACAAAAAAAAAATAATCATTTGTTTAATACTGTGATTTTGTAATAAATTGCCATGTATGAAAATTCACATTTAAAGCATGATAACTTTGTAATAAGCAAAGTTTTTTAAAAAATTATCATCGACGATTCTGCAATGGAGAAATTTACCGTC